ATCTCTCAGGAGGCAATGCTTTTCTCCATAATCCAGTATTCATGATTTTAGCTCCTCCTTCTCCATGCCCATCCCATTTCATAGCTTGAGCTTATCCTCTTTTCTCTTTCTTTTTTATTTTTCTCAAAATTTCTCCAATATACTTATCTCTTTCCAATGGTTCCCACCTCAACACAGGCTCTAGCCCTCCTACTACATGAAGCTGGTATTGGAGGCTGTGAGAAGGACTCCCATTAGGGTTAGAGGTCATGAACACTGTGTATGTTCTCTGGTGCCAGTGGGTCCGTGTTTCACAGCCATTTCCAGTGAAGTACATCTTGTTGAGTCACATGTGCCCTATTTTGAATTTAACGTTGTTGTCTAGGTGCTGGTGGTGATTTCTCCTTCTCTCTGCTCTTCCCATTCTCCCACCTCAGTGTCGTGCCCTTCTTCCTTGCTCTCAGACTCTGGCTGTGGCAAGAGGTTGGCCACAACTTCTTGTTTTTCCTACTGACCTGGGAAACCATTCAGGATTATTTATTCCTCAGAGTTAAGAAATTTGACCCCATTAAGGGGTCAACCCCATTAAGCTACATAATCCATTAAGCTACATAATCCACTGACAGTGAACAGCTAATCAAACTGGGACAACCACACACATCATGGAGGTGAGAATTTCATCTTTATTGTATTTCCTCAAGAGATGCATTGAATTGTGCTCTTTAATGATCTGAAATAACACCCAAACATGCCAGCCAGGCAAGTTAAAAAATTACAACCGAAATACTCACAATTCAATAATAAAGACCAAAAAATAAAGATTATATTGACAAGAATTTTGGGGAACTACCCACCTAGCTATAACTGATATATAAATATAAAACCACAAAACCTTTCTTGAAAATGTAAACAAATTATATTTACATTTGCATAACAGCTATAATACTCGTCAAAAACTTTTTAAGAATAGCATGTTTTCAAAACTACTATCATGTATTTCAAAAGTCTTTAACATAGATACATAAATATTAAATGCAAGAATAAATATAATAATCCTATTGAGACAGGATAGTAAGAAGCCATGAAAATTCCTGGGCAAGTGGAGTGAGGAAACTGAGAAAAGGAGAAACTGAGGCAAGAAGATGAAACAAGATGAAACAGTTTAAGCAATTACAGCCAGCTGGTGAATTGCAAGACTATATCCTCTAATCAAGAACACTTGAGAGCAAAAGGTTTATACCTCTCCACTCAAACCAGACAATACATAGCCTCCCTGGCTGTAAATCCCTGGCTGAGAAGAGAAGAATGCAAATAGATAACAAGAGAACAAAGGGAGCCAACTTGGAAAGAAGCTCCCTGACTCGCCTTTTATCTCCCCCCTCCCAAGAGAAACAGCAAGTCTGCACGTCAGAGTTCCCCATAGGAATTGCCCCTCCAAAATTTGCACACTTCCCCTATATAAACTTGCTTCTAAAAGCTCAAGGTAAGGTGGATGTTAGAGTTTTAACCTGCCACCTTCTCAGATAGCTGGGCTGTGATAGTAATAAAAGATCAGTTATAGCCCTGGCTGGCATAGCTCAGTGGATTGAGCGTGGGCTGGGAACCAAAGTGTCCCAGGTTCGATTCCCAGCCAGGGTACATTCCTGGGTTGCAGGCCATAACCCCCAGCAACCGCACATTGATGTTTCTCTCTCTCTCTATCTCCCTCCCTTCCCTCTCTAAAAAATAAATAAATAAAATATTAAAAAAAAAAAAGATCAGTTACTATCCAATCCCTGTCTTTGCTTTTTGGTGCAGCCCTGAACTCATTTGCCCTCTAGTTTCACTACGGGCAACATTTACAAAATAAACCAATAAAATTTATAGCATACATTCAGCTATCACAATCTTATGACAATTAATACTTTTAAAGCATTTCCCTCCTATTCTGAGCCCCTAAACTCCACCTTCTGATGGCTCTAGACTGTTGCAACCAAGTGTATAGAAAATGGGACCACCAGCTTCTCCCTCAGGGGAGATGTGAATCAAACATCTGAAATTTTGGGTGTTGACTTAGGGGCAAAACCTGAAAAAACTCTGGTTTCCAATTGTCCTTAAACGGACTCCTAGAAGTGTTCCAAAGAGTAGGGCATAATAACTCTCCAGCTCATTCTGGAATATTCTGGGTTTTGCTAGATTATCTGTACAGGAAGCTCCTCTTTTCCTTCCTCATGCCTGTTATTAGCACCTGGATTGACTAGCTGCTGAGAACTGGAATCTCCTGTGGGTACAGTGACCTAGAAGAGAGAGAGAGAGACAGGATGTCACACTTAAAAAAGTTTGGAGCATAGACCCATACACCGAAAGGTTGTGGGTGTAATCCCTAGTCATGTCACATACCTAGGTTTTGGGTTGGATCCCTTCCCACATTAATGTTTCTCCCTCTCTCTTCCTCTCTCTCTCTAAAATCAATAAACATATCCTCAGGAGAGGATTTACAAAAAGAAGTGCAGGCCTTCAGGAGGTGATTAGGTCATGGGTGGAGCCCTTATGGATGAGATTGTTGCCCTTATAGAAGACCCCAGAGCCATGCCTCTGCCCTCACACCGAGTGAGCACCCCGTGGGGAGTTGGCCGTGTGCAGCACAGAAGAGGGTCTTCACCAGAACTCGACCTGATCTCAGACTTTCAGCCTCCAAAACTAGCAGAAGTCAGGGTCTGTTCTGTGTAAGCCACCAATCTCTGGTCTTTTGTTATAGCAGCGAGAATGGTCTGAGATAGCTAGTTTACAAGGTTGAAAGCAAACCTTTGCTTAATGGTCTTTCCAAAGCTGTAACTCGAATGTGTGGGTCTTATGAGCCATGCTGGAGCTAGTCTTTCTCAACCTTTGCTCATTCTGACAAACTTCCTGGACCCTAAAACTGAGGGGGAAACCTGTACTTGTGCAAGAGGGGAGATTAGTGAGGCAGGGGAAATTTAGAACACATCTGTGATGTGGCCACCAGCAATTTGAGAGTAAATTTGGATGAGAATAGAGCTAGTCATGATTTGTCTTCTATTGTTGGATGTAGAGACGGTTCCACCTCATATCCCATGTTACGCATTTACTTTGTGGTAGTCTCTATATTGGTATTCCTGAGGGATGAGAGGCTCATTGAATTAACAACAGGAAGTCAAAACACAATATAGGGAAAAATTTGGAACGTATTCACTTTTCACAAAGCTCAGCATTCCAACAAGCTGTCATTTGGACCCAGCTGCTTCAGTGAAATGATTTCAGCCAAATCTTGAGGCCTGGCACCCACACATCCCATTGAGGAGCCTGGGTGTGGTTTGTCAGCTGGTGTCTGGGAGCCAAGTTGGTGCCTGGGTATGTGCCTGGTGGGTGTACTTCACAGTGTGTAGTAGGGTGATGGGGAGGGGTGGGGTGGATGAGCATGGGTGCAGCAGTTAAATGTCTTGGATTTCCTAAAGGGACAACCAGTCATTCCATCTGGACCTGTGCAGACAGAGCTCTGCCTTCTTGCACACTTACCTCAGGCTCAGTGATGTCAGAAAGGAGGCTGAGGTCTCACCTCCACACCCACAGCTTGGGATCAAAGGCCTGGATTTGGAAAGACAAAGAGCCCCTGAGGAGATGATGACTCTCTGGGTGGACACCATCACTCCCCTTGCCCAGCCCCCAAATCTGTCTTCATTGCTCAATCCTGACTGTGATCCCCTACAATCCCTTCTCTCTCCAATCTGGCCCCCTCTTCACCAGATCCCCACAGCCCACCTACCTTTTTGCACTCTTCATTGGTGGCCCATGCCCTGTAGTCTATGGAATGAAAGAACTAAAATTGCAGTTTGTGTATCCAAAGACTTCTTGTAAAGATGGTGGTCTAGGTAAACATGGCTTGCCTCCTCACAGAACCACATAAAAATTGCAAATAAAATGTAAAACAACCATCACTCAGAACCATTAGATATTGAGTTGAATGGACATCTGACATGTACGGAATTAAATAAACCACATCCATCCAGACTGGTAGGAGGGGTAGAGAAGTGGAACAGGCTGGTCACTCATCAATGTGTGGTGGATAAAAATTCAAGAAGGATATCTTGGGAGTGAGGAGTCCCAGCCCCACAGCAGGCCTCCCAGCCCAGGGCTCCAATGCCAGGAGGATAAGTCCCCATAACTTCAGGCTGAAAAAACAAGTGGGGATTGAGTCAGTGGGAGAAACTTCTGGAGTCCTAAGCAGTTCCCCTTAAAGAACTGGACATGGACTTACTCAGACTTCCTCCTTGTAAGCTCCAGCACTAGGGTAGCAGCTTGAAAGGCACCAGTGGCAAATAGGGAGAAACTAAAGTGGCATCAAGGCAAGAGCTGGAGGACAGAGGGGCAGGCAGATGTCGTTGCCCCTTTTATGAGCCCTTCCCCCACAGAGCCACAGAGCTGGCAGGCAGGTGCCATATTGGAGACTCCATCAACCTGGCTAACTCTGTTTTCCCTGCCCTGGAGATCCCTTGAAACTCTGCCCCACTCAAATTACTGGCCCACCCATGCTGCTTTTCTGTATGAATGGCTGGTCTTGGCTCATGTTTCTCAAGTTCCTGAGACAGCACATCTATATTTCATTCTTACAATAAAAGGTCACAGATCAGGCATAAACAAGAAGAATTCTTAATATTTCTTTAACCTGTCAATTTGGCCCTAGAATCTGGTGTGTTTATGGTGTAGCTAGTTAACATCTTAAGGGTCATGGTCAAATACATTTTTCTTATTTGACAATACATGAAAATAGTACATACATAGAGCAAAACTATGATAATAATACATATTAAAATAGGATGAAATATTGCATTCCAATACTTATAAGCAGATACAGATTTAAACAGGAAATCATACCAATGTTGATTAGTATCAGTTACAGTAAGATGGGAAGCTTCAATCAACTTATTAACAAAAATATGTGTTTGTACTCTATGTTGATTAAAGTTGATTCTGGTTTTCATCTAATAATTTTTGCATCAGTGTAGAATTCTTTTTTTTCAAGATGGTCATACATCTGCCTTTATTGTGAGCAGCAGGTGAGACACTTCCAGCAACAGTAAAAAAATTAATTTACAAAAGCAGGGATTCAGTGAAGCTGCCTGCTGGAACCCTTGGGAGCTCACAAAGTAGATGCCGACCCAGAGCAGCAGGAAGAGGACCCCAAATCCCATGAAGAGCGAGGCCACCAAGGAGATGAGGAGCTCTTTGAAGATGTCTCGAGTGTACTTGGTAGAGGTGACCTCATAAACAAAGAACCAGGGGGTGAAGAACATGCCAATGGCCAACAGTACCATGGTCAGATCAGGGAAGACAGCTGGGTTCACTGGGCTGGTGTATCTGCTCATGGCCTCCAGCTCCATTTTGCCAGGGACAGGGTGACCTGCTGCTCTACCACCAGAAAAACACTAGAATTCTTGATTAGTTCTATCAAGGGGTGTAAATACATATATTCAGATGGAAGAGGTAAAGACTTGGGTGCCCAGGTGAGAGAAACATCATCCACTTGGACAGGGGAAAGGTAAAAAACATCACCCTGCCAGTGGAGAACCTCTAGGTGCTACAGACACCCAGAATATGGGGCTTCTGCCCCCACCATGGCCATTTCCATCTGATGATTGCTAACCAGATATACATGCTGCATTTCTATCTTATATAACACTAAATAATTGTAAATAGGAAATAAAGTAAGAATACAAAGATTAGAAGAGTGTTGTAGTAAGCAAGGTTCCATTTGTCTAGTTAACCCATCACACATCAAGCCTTAATGGGCAGTCACACAGTCTTGGAGATTATGTCACATTTTGTGAATCTATGTATGTCCCAGTGAATTGGGGCACAGCAAAAAAGTTTAACACAAAAGGAAGAAGATGATATTGGCACAATGTTTTGACATGCTGAGGGTCATAATAGATTATTTCCCCTAGACAGTAGTTTTCAGCAACCGTTCTTGGCCAGGCACATGAAATTGTCTTGTTGGCGGGGTTGACTACAGTTTACCCAAAAGAGTCACAGTTGTGATATAGAACTGGCAAGAAGCATTCCAGGTGTCCAGGCTTCAACCACCCATATCATCCACCATCCAAGGAGAAGCCCTAGAAGACACTGTTATTCCCTCAGGAACAACAGTGATTAGTAGATAGAATTTCAATATTGTCTTGGCCTGTATAAGTAACTGCTAGGGTATTGTTAGCTTCTTCAGCCACAACCTCTGTGGCCCTGGGCCTATCATGAAGATGTTTCTTTACCCATATCTTCATACTGGTAGATCCAAAGCCTCCCACTCTGGTGGTGGCACCAGGGGCCTGGGGAAGTTGTTGCCATTCCCCCTTGTGATAGGAGATAATGACTACTTGAGCCAACCATTCCTGGCTTTGCAGTTGTACAGGTTGTGAGGATACATTATCCAGTGCTACTTTTATTTCTCTCACATAGTCTGAATCAATAACTACAGCTGTAATTTGCAATCCTAGACTGGATCTTGGGAGAATGTGCCCAAAATGTCCTTTTGGGATTTGCATACCTAATCCTGTTGGGACAGTCTGAGTAGTATTAGGGTCAATCCAGATCTCCCACAGTGTGCGTAAATCACTTCCTGTTGATCCTGAAGTGCCCATATATGGATCCTGAGCATTAGGATCAATAGCCTACCATTTTAAGGTAGTAGGACATTGCTGGCTGTGAATCTGTAAATTGGGAGTCATCATTCGTGCCAAACGTGTAGAATTGCCTAAAGGCTGATTATTCAATTGTTGCAAAGCAAGGAATAAGTGATCTTTCCAGTTTTTATAAGAATTATTTCCTAACTCTCTCAGCTTTTCTTTGAGATCACTCATTTTTTCAATTAGGCCCACAGCCTGTGGATAATAAGGAATGTGATATACCCATTCTAGATTATGTTGCTGGCAATAGGTCTCAATTTCCTTTCCATTAAAATGGGAACTGTATCACTCTGAATTTGTAAAGGGGAACCATAATAAAGTGTAAGGATGTTAAGAGTTTTGCATGTGTTTTTCTGAGTAGCACGTAGGTATGCACAGGCAACCAATACCCCTAAATAGGTGTTTACACAAGTAGAAATAAATTGGCATCCCTGACTTACAGGCAATGGTCCAATGTAATCTATTTGCCAAGTTTGACCAGGGAGTGTACCTCTAGCTAATTCCCCCATTACTATCTTGGGGATGGAACGTAAAGCATCCTTCTGATAGATTTTACACTCATCCTTTATCTGCCTCAAAATGGAGAAAGGGACATTTATTCCTCGGGCCTGTGCCCACATGTGCATAGCTTGTGCTCTTAAATGTCTCACTTGATGGTGTATCCATCAGGCAAGGGAATAGTCATCTTCAGAGGAGGTGGTAGCAGCTATTTTTGCCAGAGCATCCACAGTGGCGTTATACTCACACTCAGGTGAATCCTTCTTAGTATGTGCGTCTACATGAAAAACAGAGACATTAGTGCACTGAACAATATCCTGAATTTCTACCCATAGAGGTTCTCCCCAGATTTCCCATCCATGAATTTCACAATTTTTACATTTCCAAATGGCCATCCAGGTAGTTAACCCATTGGTTACTGCCCAAGAGTCAGTAAATAAATGACAGTCTCCCTATCTCATCTATAAAAAGGCTTGGTAAATAGCTTTTTGTTCAGCTAGTTGGCTGCTGCCATGTTTTCCAGTGGTTTCTAGAGTGACTTGAGTATGGGGGTTATGAGCAATAGCCTTCCAATGCCTTTCTTGACCAATGTATTTAGCTGTTCCATCTGTAAACCATGCATACCGTTTTTGGGCAGGGGTTAGGGAATTATATCCCGTTCCCCAACAGATAGGGGAACTAAGCTTTTCCTTAGTATGGGGCAGTATAGTTGTCTCCCCTTCCAGATGTCCTCCAGTCCTCCATCCATTACCTGTTTGTGGACACCTGTGACCCGTGATTTGCCAGCCCTCACCCTATTCTGAATGTATTATTTCCAATTAATTATTCCTCAGCATGTCCAATTTTATGGGATGCTGAGGCACTTAAAATCCAATTCATAATGGGGATTCCAGGTAGTCCAGAACTGGACTTGATCCGTAGTAGGAATTCATGTCCCACAGTTAACTGTTCCATTTCTGTCAAAGCCCAGTAAGCAGCAAGAGATGCCCCAGCATTAGTCAGTTTTCTAAACCAGAACTGTAGAGGCACCTGCTTTCCCCTCTTGTTGCTGAATGCAGTGAGCTCCTTACTGAGGAGAATATTTTGCCTCCTCCTCCAATTCTCTCATCCCAGATATCCCCGTCCCACTTATCAGGGTCCCAATCAAGTGGAGCAGAAGCAATCATGGCATGCACTTTCTTTTTGTTTACCTTGTGCTGGTGCTTCTTATATTTATACTGAGCATACCATACTGCAGCCTTTTCAGCCACTGCCTGATAATTTCTGGCTTGATCCGCCAGAATAAAGTTTTGAAATTGTAAGTTGAAAAGTTTCCCCTGAAATTCTGTGAGTTCTCACTTGAGCTGAAGGTTTTCCTGGAGGATCTTCTCTTTCTTTTCATGACACTTTCAATATATAGTTAGAATAACCCACCCACAGCGACAGATGCCAACAATTTGTTTTCATTTCTCAGCATTCCTTGGAGGCATTCTACTAACTGGGATGGTTCCCCAGTCTTCACCTTGCCTCCCCAATCCTCACAGTGATCCATTCCCTTAGCCTATTCTTGTGCAACCTGAGAGAACAGCAGATCCTCCCAGTCTGGCACTTCACAAATCACACATTTCACTTCAGACTTACAAAAAAAGGGCATATTGTTCTTGAATCCTGTTTATGATGCCAATTTATGTGCCATTAAATGGCACTTATGAGATTGTGGCCACTTAATTTGGGTGTTCAGGTTCACAGACAATAAAAACCCCAAGTCAAAGGTGAATAGTTAAGCAATTTATTAAGCAAGAGCAAAGAGAAAGCAAGAATTAAAAACATACATCATCAGACAGGAAGCAGCATTTGGGGTTCATCTGGGAAAAGTTCTGAGCAAAGTGTCCTTCCCTCTGGTGGGATTCCAATCTCACTTTGGGGGCTCTGATTAAATATGTTTTAGACAAGTGTGGCTATGTGTCAAGGGCCTTTCGTGACTTGGTTGACCAACCATTCCCTTCAGGAGAAAAGCCAGTTCTTCCCCAAGGAAATGATCAGTGTTTACAAGTACTGAGTTAAAAACTAAGGGTGCTCAGTCTTCTGTGCAGAAGGTCGAGTTCTCCCTGAGAGACAGCACACTTATATTTCATTCTTACAATAAAAGGTCATGGCTCTAGCATAAACAGGGAGGATTCTTAATATTTCTTTAACCTGTCACTTCCTAAATCCTCTCAGACAAGCAAAAGTCAGCCTCAGTGAGCCCCCATCTCCTGTACCCCTTGTGAAGTGGCTGCAGGCCTGGCACTAGTTGGAGCCAGTCTATATTCACAGCTTGGCTTCACCTGGGAATCTCTAAGCCCAGCATAAGTAGCAGCCATTTAAGATTGCTTTTATAGCTCAGGCAGGGTGGCCCAGGGAAAAATGCAAGTGGGGGCTGACCGTGGCCTGCACACCCAGTAGACAGCTATAGATCACATTAGAGCACCATCACCCGTGCCCTCACAGCTGATCTTCCATGGAGGGTGGAGCCTGGTAATCAGTGGTTAAAGCCAGTCTTTGCAGGTAACCCTCACACTGACCTGCTAACAGCAACAAAGGGTCCACTACAAGAGGAGGGTGTACTCAGCCCACACAAAGGTCAACTTAAATACCCAGTTTGGGTGATAGGAGAGGCTGTGCCACTGGACCCTATAAGACTCTTACTACATTAGGCCACACTACAAAGACAGGGAGTCATAGCAGCTCTACCTAATACATAGAAACAAACACAGGGAGGCTGCCAAAATGAGGAAACAAAGAAATATGGTCCAAATGAAAGAACAGATCAAAGCTCATGAAAAAGAACTAAATTGAATGGAGATAAGCAATCTCTCAGGTGCAGAGTTCAAAACTCTGATTATAAGGATGCTAAAGGAACTTAATGAGGACCTCAAAGATACAGTTAGAAATAAAGGATACACTAATTAAAATAAAGAACAATTTGCAGATTTGCAGAGAAACATCAGTAGAGTGGATAAAACTGAGAAGATTTGGAACACTAGGAAGAAAAAACAACAAATCAGAACAACAAGAAGAAAAAAGAATCCAAGAAAAATGAGGATAGTGTAAGCAGCCTATGGAGCAACTTCAAGCATTACAACATTTGCATCACAGGGGTGATAGAAGGAGAAGAAAAAGAGCAAGCAATTGGAAATATATTTTAAAAGTAATGAAAGAAAACTTCCTTAGTTTAGTGAAGG